AAAAAAAAAAAAAAAAAAAGCAAACCTTATAGTATGTGAATCTTATGCTATAATCTTATAAGATTCACATACTATAAAATTTTGTGTCTTCAAGTTTTCAGATTACCACAACCTACAAGGCCCTGCCCAGGCTCTCTTCCTCTGACCTCACCACAAGCCTCTCTGCCACCAGTCACTACTCAAACCCACTGGCCTTCTGTCTATTCCTGAAATATGACTAGGGTTTTCTTGCCTCAAGAGCTTTGGGTATGCTCTATCCTTTGCCTGGAATAAAAAGACTTGCCTGGTCTCTTTAGATGACTAATACCTCCTCATCCTTCAAGTCTCAGCTCAAATGTCATCTCCACGGTGAGGCCTTCCCTCGCCACTCTATCTAAAATAGGACAGTCACTCCAATCACTCTCTCTCAGAGGCATCGTGTGCTTCCAAACATCCACATAAGCTTTCTGTGAATTTACTTGGTTCTTTCATGTCAGGTCCACAAGACTGTACGCACCATGAGGAGTGAATGTGTATTGTTCACCATTGTAATTCTCAACGTCTAACAGAATTCCTGGCATTTAAAGTGCCTAACAAATGATCCTATTTTTATTTCCCTAATATGCCACGTCCTCATACGTACTGCTTCCTCTGCTGATACCACCACCATCACTACTGCCTCCACTCCCTCTGCTAACCACCCACCCCTACCCACGGCTCAGCTGAAACATGATCTCTTGGTGAAGCCTTCCTTTCCAGACCCACCCTTTTCCCTAGAAGACAGTCTCTTCTTCACCTACTCACCTATTCATCACCAGCGGCATCTCCACCATTGCAATTAACTTATACTGTATTATATTTGGTTTTGTTTTTTCTTTTTGGTAGGGAGGGAATCTGAAGGGGGTTGTTTTTGTTTCACATTTGTTTCCACTACTTTAGAAAGCCTTAAAGAAAAATACTTTTCATCTTTGTGTCCCTAATAATTAGCACAATGCTAGGCACAGTATTACTACTAATTATGGTAATAATGGCTAACATGTTGGCTTAATATTCTTAGTTTAAGACTATTCTTAATATTTAATACATGCTTAATATTCTTAGTTCTATAGTAGGTGAATGGATGAATAAATGGATAAATTTCTTCGTTACTAACCTCAGAGGTCACAGTTTGACAGAGACAGAAGACAGGTACACAGGCTAATGAGAATAATCACTACCACAAGGCCAAATTAGTTGCCCTGCCCTGTTCCTATGCCTCCAAATCTTAGAATATGCTTTTCTCTAAGTCCATAAATGTCAGGTTTCTTCAAACTCACTTAGAAAACTTCCTTCGATTACTTACAACCCACTTCCTGCACTTTGTGCCTGGAAGCAATTTCTAGGATGTCACCACAAGCAATATTAAACTGCCACATAGTTTCCTGCTGTGTGTCTGCATTATCAGTTAAATTGCTTCATAGTAACCACATTCCAGTCCACTGGGATCATTCAAACAGTAAATAAGATTTAAACATACCTGTCGAAGATTGTCAGTTACCACTGCTCTTTTTATTCTTCTAGATAAATGTCCACAAAGGTTTAAGATTTAGGTTTCCAGGGTGCTACCTACATACTGGTGACCTTCTTTTTTTGTCCATTAGCTGTTGATTTGAGGCAAGACAATGTTCCTTTATTAAAATGAACATGAGGCCGGGTGCGGTGGCTCCTGCCTGTAATACCAGCACTTTGGGAGGCTGAGGTGGGCGGATCACCTGAGGTCGGGAGTTGGAGACCAGCCTGACCAACGTGGAGAAACCCTGTCTCTACTAAAAACAGAAAATTAGCCAGGCATGGTGGGACATGCCTGTAATCCCATCTACTCGGGAGGCTGAGGCAGAAGAATCACTTGAACCCGAGAGGTGGAGGTTGCAGTGAGCTCAGATTAAGCCATTGCACTCCAGCCTGGGCAACAAGAGCAAAACTCCCTCTCATCTCAATAAAAAAAAGAAGAACATGAACTAAATACCCTACTAAAAGGAAAGGCCTGCCTAAACCAGTACAATTTGTCTTAAAAATGTATAAAATACAAAACTCTTCTTCAAGGGTTTAAATTTTTTTAACTCGATGTACGCTCAACCCGGAGAACTCAGAGTCTTAATTAGGATCTTAATGTAGATCCTAACATATTTCTTAAATGCATTCCATGAACTCTTCTTAAACAAGCATGTGCCAGGCATTGAGTTTGATACAGGGAACTCAAAGACAGTCCCTGCTCTCAAGAAGTTTATGTCCAGCATGGTATGGGAGACAGACAAGAAACGAGACTTAGCACTGTGACTGCGATAAACACGAGGGGCCACAGAAACACAGAGGAAGGGCACCTGGCCTAGACTGGAACAGGTGGGGGTGGGGATGGCAACAGGAAACTGGCATCAAGGCAGGCTTCCGGTGGTTGGCATCTGATCTTAGGCCTATAAACTCCCATTCTCTCATTTGAAAAATGTGGTTAATAAATAGCATCACCACCACTGGACAGTAGTGAGAGTTTCATGAAATGGTTCACACTAAGGACTTCCATGGTACCTGACAGAGACTGTGTTCAACCAGGCTTAAGCTTGAAAGAGAAGTCTGATCAAACACTAAATCTCAACACCTGTGCCTAGCAACTCACGTGCTTTACCACTGATCACACAACAGACATCAGCTTCACAACTGCACACAATATTGTTTTTAATCAGCTTTTATTTTTTAATAATGAGACAATGTTAAGTCCTACTCTGCATGTTAACAGTCTAATTCCTTGATCATTAAAATTTTCTTTTCCATTACCTTAAACATACCTTTCTCTGACATTTCTCATATACAGTAATGTTCTTAGTCTTTTGATACAGAAGATGAAAAAAGAAAAAACCTAACAATTACTGAGTTTTTAATATCGACCTGGCATTTATATCGATACTGTGTTCATTGCTCATAATAACCCTACTGGACACAGTCCTCCCCATTTTACCCTCAGGGAAACTGAGTTTGAAAAGGCAGTCTGTGTGAAGTTTCATAATTAGCATTAAAAAGAGCTGGAATTTGAACCTAGATCTGATTCCACCTAGTCAACTGACTTGCTACATCAGAGATAAGCAAGAGAAAACAAAGGCAACCCCTCCCCCTTACCCCTGCTTCCAAGACTGTCCTACTCAATGTAACCTGCACACTTAGTTTCACCACAGCCAGGAGAACACCTTGAATGCCCTGCTGGAGAGAATAGCCAACCAGTAGTAGGCAAAGCTCTGTTTTCTCCAACTAGAGGAGCACTTAAGTGGGCAATTTCCTCTCCATCCCCATTCCTAGCTACAAGCAGAAGTTGCATAATCAACAGTCACTATAAATCACAACTGCTTTTCATAGCTTCTCTTCATCTTTTTCGGTTTCACCACAAGCTAACATATTTCCCAAGCCTAAGTTTTTATCACAGCATAGTCTACTTTCAAGATCAATAAGGATATTCTTCATACTCCTTTCACACTTAATTCCATGCCTTTGTAAATTCCCTTGTCCAAGTGCTCAGAATTTGTGATGGGTTCCACAAAACACACTTGAGAAATGTATTTGTCAACCCGCTACCTTGGAGAGCAACAGAGATCTGACGGCTAGCCATCTGAACTTTTACTCGCTGGATTTTAATGCTGGTTCAGATACTCACTGCCTCGTGTTAGGCAAGTTTCTGAACTTTTCTGTAACAAGAAGGGTAAGGGTCCTCACGCATACTCTGCAACTCTAAGATGGCTTCTGGAAAGTGTTTCTAAGTGCTATTGAAATCCAAGTTTACAACTCTTACTTGGAAGCAGGAACTACGCTTGAGTGCCTCTTTAATCCCAATGTTTTACAAACTACCATCTTTTTACCTCCCAAGCCTCTCAACCTCTTGTTTGGAGCATGCTTCTTTTTCCTCATTTCCACACAAATAAAGATTTAACAGAGTGCTCATGCAACTCTTTCATTTTTATTATCATAAGCAAACTTTTCTAGTTTCATTTAGCAGATGTCTCAGGGCTGCTGCAGCTATCTCATACATATTTTGTAAATGAGACATCTAATCACACAGCTGACTGCACAGCTGGGCAAGGGTCACACTGCACGGGCATCACCTGGACATGAGATGCCATGTTTGAATAATTATTAGATTTCGCCCTTAAGGCCCTTCTTTCAAACTTCCCTAGTACAATTCTCAAAACGCTGAAATAAACACATTCCACAGATTTTCCTGTAAGAGGGTTTAAAGTGTACTAGGAAAGTTTTTTTACAGAAAAGCCTATGTTGTCAACTTGTTTTTTAATGCCCTTAAACAATTCTATTAGTCACAGAGAAAAAGTGAACATTTGTTAGTAATTAGAGATAAAACATCTCAAGTTCTGGGGCAGACGAAGGGAGAGGCCACAAGAGGACCTGGCTGGAAGGGGAGATAGAGTCCAAAGCCACACACCCAAATTGGACGGCTTAAGAGTTGAACTTTCCAAAGTCAACTTCTAAGTCTCTACAAGGAGGGCAACAATGTTTCAGGGGATGCTGAAGTTAGATGTATTAACAATTTCCCTGGAAAGCTAAGCCTCCACCGGGAACTCCAGGTGAATGAATGAGTGAGGGAATTCGCCAGATTGAGTTACAAAGCCTTTCCAACGATTATCAAGATCAGGTGCT